GAGAAACGAGGGACTAACACAGCCTTGAACAATACCCCGAATTTTGTGAATATGTTATTTCAAATAAAGCATACCTATTTAAATTACGCGGGTTGAATTTTGAAATGTAACTTAAATTTACAAAGCACGAGTTGAAGCGCCGCGGGCGGCGCGATGGCTAAAACTAGTTACCTGAGTTCATAGCGAACAGCTTCATTGTTTTGAATGATAACACGCGGAAATAGTCAAATTATGTTCTTGATGCGCAAAGGGAACTTTACCAAAAATATATATATAAAAAACACATTGCGCTGAAAACTATCGTTATAGTCTTAAATTCATATCAACGGATTGAACGTGATTGCTGGATCACAATAGCTTACACTAATGTCGGTTTAAGACTAGTAGATAATATATAAATATAATTATCATACATAGGGCGCACTATAAGTTTCCGGAACTGGGGGTCTACTCTCGATCTACGTCCGACATCCGTCCGAAACAATTACTGCCAAATAAGCAATAGTTGACCAAATGAAAAGACGCGTGATGCGAATGAAGCTTCATACTTGTCTTTTAATTTTGTCGAATATTACTTATTTGACCATATGGACGACGGGTCTAATACAAAAACCACGAAAAAAATGTCCCAAGTCAACCTATTCGAAATTTAAATTGTAATGTGATCGCAGTATCGCGCTGTCAGTCGAACAAATGAAGACTAAAGCGGAGTTTGGCGCTCTGTATGCGATTTTAGCGCCTTACAAGTGCGGACACTCTTTAGCGTGGACCCGACGTCCATATAATTGTAAGTCAATGTATTTGACAGTAATTGTTTCGGACGGAGACGGAGATCGAGAGTCGACCCCCTGGCCACTTATATAAACAACACTGAAAAAGTAATTACAACATTTTAAAATGGAACTCTTTGGCTGTAGAATACAGTTTGTTTGATCTGACTGTCACTTGTTTTTAAATTGTGGCGCCATTTTAGAAATTGGTTGTTCTATATCACCATGTATTTAACTCGTGAAAATTTTCGTAGTATGATTTTCTACGACTTTAAGTGTAATTTAACAGGTCAGCGGAGCTTCGCTCGGCTTCAGACTGCTTTTGGCGAAGAAGCACCATGCAAGACGACTATTTATAGCTGATTTGCAGAATTCAAACGCGGTCGTGTGAATCTCAGTGACGATTTTGGTGATGGTCGCCCGTCCACTGCTGTGAATGATGAGATGCTGTGTGATGATGTGTGATATACCATAAGATTCGGGCATCTTTAGGCATAGACACGAGTCAAATACAATAAATACTACACAAACATTCGGGTGTGAAAAAGCTGTGTTCTCGGTGAATCCCACACAATTTGACTGCGGTTCAAAAACGGATGCGTCACTTGGTGCAATGCCATGCTTACCAGATTCAACGAAGGGGCGTCAAATTTGGTGTGGGACATAGTAGCAGGTGACGAAACATAGATTTATAGTTACGATCCCAAAACAGCAGCAAACGAGCGTATGGGTCTTTCGAGATGAGCAGAACCCAATCAAAGTGGCGCGCGTGCAAAGTGCCTCTAAGCGGATGATTGCTTCTTTTTTTAATAAAACTGGACACGTGGCTACTGTTGCTTTGGAGAATCGTTGTACCGTGAATAGTGATTGGTACACGACCATTTGGTTGCCAGAAGTTGTTGACAAACTAAGTAAAAATAACCGTAAAAGCCGTATCGTCTTACACCACGATAATGTCAGTTCTCACACGACCAGACAGACAAATGAATTTTTAAGAACCAGTTAAGCGGTCAACGATTTTCATCAACTGAAGAGGCTGTCGAAGAGTATGAAAAATATGTTTCAGAAATTGTCACGAAAGAGTAGCATAAATATTTTCAAAATTGGTTCATTCGTATGGAAAAGTGCAATAACGCTAACGGAGAATATTTTGAGAAACAATAAATTCATTTCGGACCATTTATAGTATTTTTATCTTATTCATTCCGGAAACTTATAGTGCGCCTCACGTATAAAATTTTACGAAAAGAGCTCTTGCATTTTAGACCCGATCCAAAGTAGGCCTGCTTGTATAATACATGTAAACTATATCCCACAAAAAAACAGCAACAGGAGTGCAACGACAGCCAGCGTGAATCCGGTATGTAAAGAATAAAATTAAATGCCAAATTGAAAGCCAATGCATTCGCCAAAAGGTTCCCTAATAAATTACACTTCTGGATGCTAGTACATCGGTCAGATTAAACTGGCAATCGTTGACCACAATACATCAGAACTATAAAATACAATGACGCCAGAAAGTCAGCCGTTGCACAGTGCCTGACACAAAGTGACACTAACCACTGGATCGAATTACGTTCAACTGTGAACTGGCAACCGGTACTATTTCAATTTTGACTACTTT